TGCTGCGCCCTGCGCCTCTACCAGCGCAGCTGCTGCGCCCTGCGCCTCTACCAGCGCAGCTGCTGCGCCCTGCGCCTCCACCAGCGCAGCTGCTGCGCCCTGCGCCTCCACCAGCGCAGCTGCTGCGCCCTGCGCCTCCACCAGCGCAGCTGCTGCGCCCTGCGCTTCCACCAGCGCAGCTGCTGCGCCCTGCGCCTCCACCAGCGCAGCTGCTGCGCCCTGCGCCTCCACCAGCGCAGCTGCTGCGCCCTGCGCCCCCACCAGCGCAGCTCCTGCGCCCTGCGCCTCTACCAGCGCAGCTGCTGCGCCCTGCGCTTCCACCAGCGCAGCTGCTGCGCCCTGCGCCTCTACCACAGTCAGCGTTATTGTATTTAATACCGTTCTTTTATGGTGGCAGCCTACAGACACCAGGAACAGCAATGTTCAGTACAAAATGGATGATGATAATGATGAAGACAACTGGCTGATGAATTAGCAAGAGTGCACACACACACACACACACACACACACACACACACACACACACACACACACACACACACACACACACACACACACACACACACACACACACACACACACACACACACACACACACAACACACACACACACACACACACAAACACAAGGGCAAAGAAGGCCGCAGACGGAGTACAGTCTAGGGGGCCAGAGACTACAAACCTCACTCATGGAAAAAGATCTTGGGGTGAGTATAACACCAGGCACATCTCCTGAAGCGCACATCAACCAAATAACTGCTGCAGCATATGGGCGCCTAGCAAACCTCAGAACAGCATTCCGACATCTTAATAAGGAATCGTTCAGGACCCTGTACACCGTGTATGTTAGGCCCATATTGGAGTATGCGGCACCAGTTTGGAACCCACACCTAGCCAAGCACGTAAAGAAACTAGAGAAAGTGCAAAGGTTTGCAACAAGACTAGTCCCAGAGCTAAGAGGTATGTCCTACGAGGAGAGGTTAAGGGAAATCAACCTGACGACACTGGAGGACAGGAGAGATAGGGGGGACATGATAACGACATACAAAATACTGAGAGGAATTGACAAGGTGGACAAAGACAGGATGTTCCAGAGATTGGACACAGTAACAAGGGGACACAGTTGGAAGCTGAAGACACAGATGAATCACAGGGATGTTAGGAAGTATTTCTTCAGCCACAGAGTAGTCAGTAAGTGGAATAGTTTGGGAAGCGATGTAGTGGAGGCAGGATCCATACATAGCTTTAAGCAGAGGTATGATAGAGCTCACGGCTCAGGGAGAGTGACCTAGTAGCGATCAGTGAAGAGGCGGGGCCAGGAGCTCGGACTCGACCCCCGCAACCTCAACTAGGTGAGTACAACTAGGTGAGTACACACACACACACACACACACACACACACACACAGCAATACGGGGACAGAGTTGGAAGTTAAAGACACAGATGAATCAAAGGGATGTTAGGAAGTATTTCTTCAGCCACAGAGTAGTCAGGAAGTGGAATAATTTGGGAAGATATGTAGTGGAGGCAGAATCCATACATAGCTTTAAGCAGAGGTACGATAAACCTCATGGTTCAGGGAGAGTGACCTAGTAGCGACCAGTGAAGAGGCGGGGCCAGGAGCTTGAACTCGACCCCTGCAACCTCAACTAGGTGAGTACAACTAGGTGAGTACACATACACAAATGCAAAGTCATGAAGATTGGGGAGGGCAAAGAAGACCGCAGACAGAGTATAGGCTAGGTGGACAAAGACTACAGACCTCACTCAGGGAGAAAGACCTTGGGGTGACCATAACACCGAGCACATCACCGGAGGCACACATCAACCAAATAACTGCTGCAGCATACGGGCGCCCGGCAAACCTGAGAATAGCGTTCCGATACCTTAATAAGGAATCGTTCAAGACACTGTACACTGTGTATGTTAGGCCCATACTGGAGTATGCAGCACCAGTCTGGAACCCACACCTGGTCAAGGACATCAAGAAGTTAGAGAAAGTACAAAGGTTTGCAACAAGGCTAGTCCCAGAGCTCAGGGGAATGTCGTACGAGGAAAGGTTGAGGGAGATCGGACTGACGACACTGGAGGACAGAAGGGTCAGGGAAGACATGATAACGACATACAAGATACTGCGGGGAATAGACAAGGTGGACAGAGATAGGATGTTCCAGAGAGGGGACACAGGGACAAGGGGTCACAACTGGAAGCTGAAGACTCAGACGAGTCACAGGGACGTTAGGAAGTATTTCTTCAGTCATAGAGTTGTCAGCAAGTGGAATAGCCTAGCAAGTGAAGTAGTGGAGGCAGGAACCATACATAGTTTTAAGAAGAGGTATGACAAAGCTCAGGAAGCAGAGAGAGGATCCAGTAGCGATCAGTGAAGAGGCGGGGCCAGGAGCTGAGTCTCGACCCCTGCAACCACAATTAGGTGAATTAGGTGAGTACACACACACACACATGCCAATGACACTAATACATTTGTAATGACAAACGAGAGGAGTTAAATAAACCGCCGCATAAACTGGTCAGTACCGGACACGACCCACACGGGGATGAATTACCTGGAAAATATCAAGTATGACAGATAATACGACTCTCCTGAAGAGCGTTGGAACGAGCGTAACTATGCACATAGCGGGGTTATCCTTAAGAATATCATATGAAGTGGAAGCCAGACTGCTCGTTAAGGAAAGTGTATGCAGTGTCGGCGGCTACGTTCAGAAGAATGGTAGTTTCAGCTCAACCGTCATCTTGGCTAAGGTAATATTTCTTCGGGAAACCACGACGATGTGATAACCGCAGTTCCTGACTTCTCTCTCCAGATGATAAAAATTCGCTATTACAGCATGGAAACCTTTACTGAAACACCATTTGGCTTGGAGACTAAGCTTATTTTTAACTTCCATTAAGAGTACATGCTACGCATTGGTATATTATATACAGTGGAAAGAGCAGATTACAAGGAGAGGTGAGCTGCTAACCTGACTGTCAGGTGAAGAGGGTGACGTGGTGAGGAGCGTGTGAGTCAGGGGTTCCTTCAACTGGAAACTTCCTTCGTCCCGGGTGATGGTGTCCGTTGTATAACTAAGCACAAAATTTAGGCATTCTTTTTCTATTCCTGCCATTTCCACGCATAACCAGTCATCATCGACAACGTCGCTTCCTTCAGTATCAAAAACAATACTAGGTCTAAGAGGGTTAGCGTTAGGCCAGAGGATAATCCAATCATTTACACTATCCCTTGGGTGAGACGACTAAGAATTTGTCCAATCGCGTATGTGAACACATGCTTGGGACTCCAGTAACACCAACAACACCTGTTTAACATTGTAACAAGGCTTCACACCATATGAACTGACCCAGAGCGAACATAGTTATCCTTGAAAATGGCACTTATTCGTATCATAGTCACCATCACCCAGATCTAGGGAAGTATCGAGTTGAAGGAACCCCTGGCTCACACTCTCACCACCACTCACCTCATTCCTGACCTCACATAGTCATATCCGCACCTCACGACTCCCTTATGTTTACAAGGTGCTCTCTATAGACTTGAGAAACAAACTCTCTCTCTAGGCAAAATGTTGTTTCACTAAAAACATTCTGCTACAGTGTCTGTCAGCTTGTGGGTTTTACAGACACCTTCCAGTCTCTCTCCAGGCTGTGACCAGCCATGTTTTCCACGCCTGAGCTTGTCCAGCCTATGTATATAAGCGTAGCTTTTCTCAGTCAATGTTTTGGATTGCCAAGGTTCCCAGTGAGCGGAATGTTTTCATAATAAATGTCATGGTGCTTCAATTGTGTCATCATTATTATTATTATTATTATTATTATTATTATTATTATTATTATTATTATTATTATTATTATTATATTCACAAATGCACTCAACCCGCATGGGTCACAAAGCGCATCCAATTCCGTCAAAAACTACGTGCCAATATTTATTGATTGATTTCAAGCACACATCAGACACAGTCAAGCTTGCCGGAGGTGCCAAAAATACACATAAATAAACACAAATATTAAAACTAAGCTTACGGCTTAGGTAGTTCGTTTATGAAGGACTTGCAACAGTGGTATAAGCTGATAGTGATACATCTGAAAGTCGTAGTTCATCATCAGAGTCCCCGTTCAACACGTCACAAAAAGATTTAGATCCTGGTCTTCAAGCGTGGTTCCATCACCTGAATATATCATGGAGTATCTTCAGCAAATCCTGCCACATGACTTGAGGTGATGGAGTGCGACCGTTTGAAAATATTCCTTATGCAAATTCGGCATTGGGCAAAGAGAACCATCCCAAACGAAACTGCATTTTTACCGGTTAAAAATGGTTGCAAATGGAAAATGTCAGAAAACAACCATTATAACACAGTGTTAAAGAAGACAAAACAAAAGTTTGGAGAAGAGTTTCGTAAAGATATATATATATATATATATATATATATATATATATATATATATATATATATATATATATATATATATATATATATATATATATATATATATATACAAGGAATTCGCAAGAGCAGGCGAAATATACACAGACACTGATCTCGCCTGCTCTTGCGAATTCCTTGCATTGTTAATATCTCTAGTAAGACTGATGCATGCAGGGGATGAGATGAAAAGTTGTAAGCCTTCTCCCTGAAAGTTGGCTGCCTTGGATCAAAGTCTAGTGCAAGCTGGACTCCAAGGTATTGGTCCAGTGTGGGTAGATTGGTAAAGCACTCCGTACCTTGTTCCAAGGTTCGTAGGTTCGAGTCTCCTTCAGCCAGAGATCAGTGTTTGTATATATATATATATATATATATATATATATATATATATATATATATATATATATATATATATATATATATATATATAATATATATATATATATATATTATATATATATATATATATATATATATATATGTCTTGTAGGGATGAGACCCCCAACAGCCCCTTCCTCCCAGGTTTGAAAGTCATCTTTTCCCTACCCACAGCAAGCCCGCGCCTATCACTACGCCCACCGGCCCCTCAGGGGCGATGATGGGCGGCGGAGGGGGTGGCATCTCCCCAGTCTCGTCTCCCGTGGGAGGGAAGCAGGGAGAGACCATGACCATCGTCATCTCATCCCGCTCCCAGAGGTCACCAGGGTCATCCTGCAGAGTTTGCGTCAAGGTCAGTGCTTGCATAACAGGGGTCAATGGTCAGCATAGACGTAACCGGGGTCCAATGTTAGTAGGTAAGTTACAGGTGATAAAGGTCAGTATATACATCACAGACGGTGAAGGATCAGTATAGACGTCACAGGGGTCAAAGTTCATTACCTACGTCAAACGTCATTAATATCAGTATCGCCGTCACAGGGGTCAAAGTTCAGTACCTACGTCAAAGGACATTAATACCAGTATCGCCGTCACAGGGGTCAAAGTTCAGTACCTACGTCAAAGGACATTAATACCAGTATCGCCGTCACAGGGGTCAAAGTTCAGTACCTACGTCAAAGGACATTAATACCAGTATCGCCGTCACAGGGGTCAAAGTTCAGTACCTACGTCAAAGGACATTAATACCAGTATCGCCGTCACAGGGGTCAAAGGTCAGTAACTACGTCAAAGGACATTAATACCAGTGTCTCCGTCACAGGGGTCAAAGGTCAGTACCTACGTCAAAGGACATTAATACCTAGTATTTTCCTCAGAGTTTTAATAAACTCGCAGATAATTTAAATAAATTAATTTAGTTCAAATATATTTAAAGAAAACCTAAAAAAAAAACATTAAGAGATCAAATGGTAAAAAATGTAAAAAATTGGAAAATGAAGTAATTATCAATGAAATTCCGTATTTCTGTTTACAGCGAAAATGAAAATGCAACAGCCTAACTTTCTTCCCTGTTTCTCTTTCTTTTTCTCTCTGGGCCAACAGACTTTAGAGGACACAGAGTTCTTTAAAGTGTGTTCTGAGTGTGGGAATAAAGTGTGTGAAGATTGTGCTTCCTACTCCACACAGGCGTCTGATGGTGACCAGGTAAGTCTTACCCTTCACTTCCTTTATTATTATTATTATTATTATTATTATTATTATTATTATTATTATTATTATTATTATTATTATTATTATTATATATATATATATATATATATAATATATATATATATATATATATATATATATATATATATATATATATATATATATATATATATACAAATAACCCGCACATAAAAGAGAGAAGCTTACGACGACGTTTCGGTCCGACTTGGACCATTGACAAAGTCACACTAACAGAGGTGGAGCAGGACGGCTATATATAGGCAGGAAGAGGTGGAGGTAGTAGTAGTGGTAGTAGTAGTAGTAGTAGTAGTAGTAGTAGTAGTAGTAGTACAAGAATTGTATATAATACCGACAGGATGAAATGACACATGCACAACACCCGGGCATCCCCACCGTAGACGTTTCGTGTGACTTTGTCAATGGTCCAAGTCGGACCGAAACGTCGTCGTAAGCTTCTCTTTTATGTGCGGGTTATTTGTGTATTGTTCCAGTCACGGTATTGTGCCTTTTTGTTATTTATATATATATATATATATATATATATATATATATATATATATATATATATATATATATATATATATATATATATACACACATGAGAGGAGAAGACCTGTTGCTGGGAGAACACAAACATTTCATATGTATGACTGTCAGACCTTGAAAGTAGGAAATTTACATTACTTGGTGTTATACATTACCCTGCTGCTTCAAAATTATTATTATTATTATTATTATTATTATTATTATTATTATTATTATTATTATTATTATTATTATTATTATTATAATTATTATTATTATTGGCGTTATTATTATTGTTGTTGTTGTTCTTGTTATTATTATAATTATTACTGTTCCGTTTCTCCTCTCTGTTTTCCCTTCTTCCCTCCCTCCCTCCCTCTCTCCTTCCCTCCTGCTCTCCCTCCCCTTCCCTCTCTGTCTCCTTCCTGTAACTTCAGTCCTTGTGGGAAACATTGCCAAATATCAGCATTCACTTAATCGGCAAACATTTGCACTTGTGAAAAATGTTTGTAAACACGGTGAAGCAGGGGGGGGGAGGGGAAACAAGGGGGAAGGGAGTGAGGGGAAGCTGGAAGAAGAGGGAGATGGTAAGAGAGAATGTTGGAGGGAGGAGGTGGATGATGGAGGCCAAGAGAGGAGTAGAGAAGAGAAATGTTAGAGGGGAGGAAAAGAGAGAAAGATGGTAGAGAGGAGGTGGGAGGGAGGTCGTAGGAGGGAAACTGTGGGTGGGAGGCTGTAGGAAGGTGGGTGTGGGAGGGAGGGAGTGGGAGGGAGGGTGTAGGAGGGAGGGTGTAGAAGGGAGGCTGTGGGAGGGAGGACCATCACTCCCTCACTACAAACTACAGTATTGGAAAAGCAAATGTTAATATCAAAGGGAGAGTTGTGATGCTGGCGAGAATTACAACACTGACCAGCATGATGGAGTAATGCAAGAGGCAGCATATGAGGAGGGAAGGGAGGGGGAGGGAGGGAGGGAAGGCAGGGAAGGCATGGAAGGGAGGGGAGGGAGGGAAGGTAGGGAAGGGAGGGGAGAGAGGAAAGGGAGGGAAGGGAGGGGATGGAGGGAAGGTAGGGAAGGGAGGGGAGGGAGGGAAGGCAGGGAAGGAAGGGAAGGTAGGGAAGGGAGGGGAGGGAGGGAATTTAGGGAAGGGAGGGGAGGGAGGGAAGGTAGGGAAGGGAGGGGAGGGAGGGAAGTTAGGGAAGGGAGGGGAGGGAGGGAAGGTAGGGAAGGGAGGGAAAGAACGGGAGAGAAAAAATCAAACTAGTGTCTAAATAAAGATTATTAATAATGTACATTAAAAAATAAAGCCCAAAGACCAGAGAAGGCATCACCTTGTTAAAACCCACACGGGTTTAACACGAGTTTACCAATGGTTTAATACTGGTTTAACACTATTTTAACACGGGTTTAACATTGTTTTAACACGGGTTTAACACTTGATTTAAAATACACAGTAATTCACACATACATACACATTGCTTACACTCACACACACATAAGTGTGTCACAGTGGGCGCCTGTGACCAGCGGGGTCCCACAGGGATCAGTCCTAGGACCAGTGCTGTTTCTGGTATATGTGAATGACATGACGGAAGAGATATGAAGTTACTGAGGAGAATTAAAACGGATGAGGGTCAGATTGGTCTACAAAGGGACCTGGACAGGATGGAAGCTTGGTCCATCAACTAGCTCCTGGAATCTAACCCCACCAAAAGCAAAATCATGAAGATCGGGGAAGGGCAAAGAAGACCACAGACAGAGTACAGGGTAGGTGACCAAAGACTGCAAACCTCACTCAAGGAAAAGGATCTTGGGTTGAGCATAATACCGAGCACATCTCCTGAGGAGCACATCAACCAAATAACTGCTGCAGCATAAGGGCGCCTGGCAAACCTGGGAAGAGCGTTTCGATACCTCAGTAAGGAATCGTTCAAGACTCTATACACCGTGTACTTCATGCTCATATTGGAGTTTGCAGCACCAGTTTGGAACCCACACCTGGTCAAGAACGTCAGCTAAGGGGAATGTCCTACGAAGAAATGTTAACGGAAATCAACCTGACGACACTGAAGGAGGAGGGTTAGGGGAGACATGATAACAACATATGAAATACTTCAAAAAATTGACAAAGTGGACAAAGACAGGATGTACCAGAAATGGGATACAATAACAAGTCATTGGGATGTTAGGAAGTATTTCTTCAGCAATAGAGTTGTCAGGAAATGGAATAGTCTGGAAAGTGATGTAGTGGAGGCAGGATCTATATATAGCTTTAAGAAGAGGTATAATAAAGTGCATGGAGCAGAGATAGAATGAACCTAGTAGCGACCAGTGAAGAAGCGGGTCCAAGAGTTATGAATCGACCCTTGTAACCACAATTAGGTGAGTACACACACAGACAAACACATAGACAAACACACACACACACACACACACACACACACACACACACACACACACACACACTTCTAACAAACACACGAAAAACAAAGACAAACCCGTGAACAAACAAGCAAAAGCACAAACAGGCGTAGACTATAAGAAAAAAAAGAAGTCTGATAAGACCACGGTCTTAGACCATCCATAAGTTGTGGCTTATAAGGCTCAGTCTCTAAGCCATTTTAATGAAAAGATTTCCCTATCGCACTCAACATTAAAAGGTCTAAAAGATTTTTAGAAAATGGTCTTGGGCAGTGAGCACGGCACAGTGGTCTTCTTAATGAAGGTAATTGGTAGAGAGGGAGTGGGTAGGGGAGGGTGAAGTGGGTAGGGGTGGGTGTTGTGGGTAGTGGTGGGTGTTTTGGGTAGGGGGAGGGTGATGTGGGTAGAGGGTGGGTGAAATGGGTAGGGAGTGAGTGAAGTGGGTAGGGGGTAGGTGAAGTGGGTAGGAGGTGGGTGAAGTGGGTAGTGGGGTGGGTGAAGTGGGTAGGAGGATAAATGGAGGAGGAAGGAGAATGGGCTAAGTATAACTGAGTAGGAGAAGGAAGATGGGATGATTTGGATTGGAGGAAAGAAGAGCTGATTGCATAGGAGGAGGAAGAGGGGAAACAGGATGAATGGACGGGAAGACGAAGAGAAAAACAGAAGATGGAAGGGAAATTCACACACACACACACCTCAGTAAGGATTCGTTTAAGACTCTGTATACCATTTACGTCAGGCCCATACTGGAGTATGCAGCACCAGTTTGGAATCCACACCTAGTCAAGCACGTCAAGAAAGTAGAGAAAGTGCAAAGGTTTGCAACAAGACTAGTCCCAGAGCTACGGGGATTGTCCTACGAAGAAAGGTTGAGGGAAATCGGCCTGACGACACTGGAGGACAGGAGGGTCAGGGGAGACATGATAACGACATAAAATACTGCGCGGAATAGACAAGGTGGACAAAGACGGGATGTTCCAGAGAAGGGACACAGACACAAGAGGTCACAATTGGAAGTTGAAGACTCAGATGAATCAAAGGGATGTTAGGAAGTATTTCTTCAGTCATAGAGTAGTCAGGCCGTGGAATAGCCTAGAAAGTGACGTAGTGGAGGCGGGAACCATACATAGTTTTAAGGCGAGATATGATAGAGCTCATGGGGCAGGGAGAGAGAGGACCTAGTAGCAATCAGCGAAGAGGCGGGGCCAGGAGCTGTGAATCGACCCCTGCAACCACAAATAGGTTAGTACAAATAGGTGAGTACACACGCAGTATTTCTCCAGTCATAGAGTTGTCATGAAGTGGAACAATCTGGAGTGTGAAGTAGTGGAGGCAGGATCTATACGTAACTTTAAGAAGAGATACCATCAGGCTGTTGGAGCAGGCAGAGAGCGAAGAAGTGGGGCCAGGAGCTATGAATCGACCCCTGCAACCACATATAAGTGAGTACACGGTTCTGGTTTAGAAAGACACGTAAACAAACAATAAGACACATTAGAAAAGTTTTCGCTCCTGGGGCCTTGATTACTTCTAATCGTTAAAAGTAATCAAGGTCGCAGGACCGAAACGTTTTATAATAAATATGTCCTAGTGGCTCCTGACGTGTCTCTGTAAACCAATTTATTGGTACTTGTTACCAAGGTATACTCCAGATATACTTCAGGTATACTTCAGGTAAGGTTTATCCCAGTTGTGATCCTGTACCTACGAACTCTGCCACTACAGGAGACGTGGAACTGTAGTATATGTCGCCGACGGCTGTCGTCGAGGGCCAGGACGGAGCAGCCGTCGTCTTCCGAGGCTGCCACACTCACCACGGGAGTGCCAACCATCATGTCGGCACCACTGCCACCACCCAGCCCAGGGGCGCCCACTGCCCTCAACCTCTTCAGTGGTCTCGCTGTCATGGCCTCTTCCATGGCTGGAACCCAGCAGGTGGGTTCACAAGTAGTTTTCTTAAGTGGGTTTTCCAAGTGGGTTTTTTAAGTGGATTTGCCAAGTGTGTTTTTCGAGTGGGGTTTCCAAGTGTTTTTTTTCAAGTGTGAGTGTGGGTGTGCGTGTGTGGGGGGAGGGAGTGGCAACGCTGCATTACTGATTAATTCCAATTATACCTGAAAAAATTACCTGTATTGTTATTGCACGATTTTTTATATAGGTTTCATTTGTTTTTTAAAGTGAATGTATCAGTCTCCTCTCTCTCTCTCTCTCTCTCTCTCTCTCTCTCTCTCTCTCTCTCTCTCTCTCTCTCTCTCTCTCCTCTCTCTTCTCTCTCTCTCTCTCTTGCTGTCCATCACTGTCTTTTTTTTCAAGTTTTGAATCTACATATTTTTTTTCAGTTTCTGCATTCATCTCGTTTGCTTTTTTTTTTAATTCTGATTTATTCTTCTTCTTCCAATTTATTCAAGTTAATAACCACCATCATCATTGTGTCAAAATCAATCAACTTGCCACTTCCCTCATTCCTCTCTTCCAGGCTACTACACCTTCAACACCACTACCCAGCCCGCTACCAGCCACCAGCGCCACCACCACCTGCTCCACAGCCTTCTCCACCACCCCCTCCACCCCCACCACAACAGAACCCCCAACGCTGCAGCCAACAGTCAACGGGTACGCCCATCGCAAGCTCTCGAGAGGGTCGTGCAAACAGACCTCCCTCGACAGAGCCAAATCGATTGAAAAGTCAAGAACCAGAGACGAATCGCGGGATAGGAGAACGTCCACGGCCGCGCCTGGAAGCGAATCGCGACGTCCTCGGGATAGGTGATTTTTCCAAATCTTGTTCCCTGTGGATAGGTGGCTAGCGGTTCTCTTGGGGAAAAAGTGACTTAAGTTTCTCTCCCGTTTGGATCAGGTACTTCCCTTCTGTTACTTGCGCTTTGTTTTTAAGTAGTTTGAAGCACTGCTCTGTTTGATGAGAGACTTTGTTTTAGCAGTATCGTTGAGAGACAGTAGGAGCAGTAATCCTCAGAGACAGTAGTAGCAGTATCGTTGAAAGACAGTAGGGGCAGCAATGCTCAGAGACAGTAGTAGCAGTATAGCTGAGAGACAGTAGGGGCAGTAATGCTCAGAGACAGTAATAGCAGTATTGTTGAAAGACTGTAGTAACAGTATTATTGAGAGACAGTTGTAGCAGTATTGTTGAGAGACAGTTGTAGCAGTATTGTTGAGAGACAGTTATAGCAGTGTTGTTGAGAGACAGTTGTAGCAGTATTGTTGAGAGACAGTTGTAGCAGTATTGTTGAGAGACAGTTGTAGCAGTATTGTTGAGAGACAGTTGTAGCAGTGTTGTTGAGAGACAGTTGTAGCAGTATTGTTGAGAGACATTGTTTTTAAACATGTACATATGTTGAGAGACAGTTGTAGCAGTATTGTTGAGAGACAGTTTGTAGCAGTATTGTTGAGAGACAGTTGTAGCAGTATTGTTGAGAGACAGTTGTAGCAGTATTGTTGAGAGACAGTTGTAGCAGTGTTGTTGAGAGACAGTTGTAGCAGTGTTGTTGAGAGACAGTTGTAGCAGTATTGTTGAGAGACAGTTGTAGCAGTATTGTTGAGAGACATTTGTAGCAGTATTGTTGAGAAACAGTTGTAGCAGTGTTGTTGAGAGACAGTTGTAGCAGTATTGTTGAGAGACAGTTGAAGCAGTATTGTTGAGAGACAGTTGTAGCAGTATTGTTGAGAGACAGTTGTAGCAGTATTGTTGAGAGACAGTTGTAGCAGTATTATTGAGAGACAGTTGTAGCAGTGTTGTTGAGAGACAGTTGTAGCAGTATTGTTGAGAGACAGTTGTAGCAGTATTGTTGAGAGACAGTTGTAGCAGTATTGTTGAGAGACAGTTGTAGCAGTGTTGTTGAGAGACAGTTGTAGCAGTGTTGTTGAGAGACAGTTGTAGCAGTATTGTTGAGAGACAGTTGTAGCAGTATTGTTGAGAGACAGTTGTAGCATATTGTTGAGAGACAGTTGAAGCAGTATTGTTGAGAGACAGTTGTAGCAGTATTGTTGAGAGACAGTTGTAGCAGTATTGTTGAGAGACAGTTGTAGCAGTATTGTTGAGAGACAGTTGTAGCAGTATATTTGAGAGACATTTGTAGCAGTATTGTTGAGAGACAGTTGTAGCAGTGTTGTTGAGAGACAGTTGTAGCAGTATTGTTGAGAGACAGTTGTAGCAGTATTGTTGAGAGACAGTTGTAGCAGTATTGTTGAGAGACAGTTGTAGCAGTATTGTTGAGAGACAGTTGTAGCAGTATATTTGAGAGACATTTGTAGCAGTATTGTTGAGAGACAGTTGTAGCAGTATTGTTGAGAGACAGTTGTAGCAGTATTGTTGAGAGACAGTTGTAGCAGTATATTTGAGAGACATTTGTAGCAGTATTGTTGAGAGACAGTTGTAGCAGTGTTGTTGAGAGACAGTTGTAGCAGTATTGTTGAGAGACAGTTGTAGCAGTATATTTGAGAGACATTTGTAGCAGTATTGTTGAGAGACAGTTGTAGCAGTATATTTGAGAGACAGTTGTAGCAGTATTGGTGAGAGACAGTTGTAGCAGTATTGTTGAGAGACAGTTGTAGCAGTATTGTTGAGAGACAGTTGTAGCAGTATTGTTGAGAGACAGTTTTTAGCAGTATTGTTGAGAGACAGTTGTAGCAGTATTGTTGAGAGACAGTTGTAGCAGTATTGTTGAGAGACAGTTGTAGCAGTATTGTTGAGAGACAGTTGTAGCAGTATTGTTGAGAGACAGTTGTAGCAGTATTGTTGAGAGACAGTTGTAGCAGTATTGTTGAGAGACAGTTGTAGCAGTATTGTTGAGAGACAGTTGTAGCAGTATTGTTGAGAGACAGTTGTAGCAGTATTGTTGAGAGACAGTTGTAGCAGTATTGTTGAGAGACAGTTGTAGCAGTATTGTTGAGAGACAGTTGTAGCAGTATTGTTGAGAGACAGTTGAAGCAGTATTGTTGAGAGACAGTTGTAGCAGTATTGTTGAGAGACAGTTTTAGCAGTATTGTTGAGAGACAGTTGTAGCAGTATTGTTGAGAGACAGTTGTAGCAGTATTGTTGAGAGACAGTTGTAGCAGTATTGTTGAGAGACAGTTGTAGCAGTATTGTTGAGAGAGAGTTGTAGCAGTATTGTTGAGAAACAGTTGTAGCAGTATTGTTGAGAGACAGTTGTAGCAGTATTGTTGAGAGACATTTGTAGCACTATTGTTGAGAGACAGTTGTAGCAGTATTGTCGAGAGACAGTTGTAGCAGTATTGTTGAGAGACATTTGTAGCAGTATTGTTGAGAGACATTTGTAGCAGTATTGTTGAGAGACAGTTTTAGCAGTATTGTTGAGAGACAGTTGTAGCAGTATTGTTGAGAGAGAGTTGTAGCAATATTGTTGAGAAACAGTTGTAGCAGTATTGTCGAGAGACAGTTGTAGCAGTATTGTTGAGAGACAGTTGTAGCAGTATTGTCGAGAGAAATTTGTAGCACTATTGTTGAGAGACAGTTGTAGCAGTATTGTCGAGAGAAATTTGTAGCAGTATTGTTGAGAGACATTTGTAGCAGTATTGTTGAGAGACAGTTGTAGCAGTATTGTCGAGAGAAATTTGTAGCAGTATTGTTGAGAGACATTTGTAGCAGTATTGTTGAGAGACATTTGTAGCAGTATTGTTGAGAGATAGTTGTAGCAGTATTGTTGAGAGACATTTGTAGCAGTATTGTTGAGAGATAGTTGTAGCAGTATTGTTGAGAGACATTTGTAGCAGTATTGTTGAGAGATAGTTGTAGCAGTATTGTTGAGAGACATTTGTAGCAGTATTGTTGAGAGATAGTTGTAGCAGTATTGTTGAGAGACAGTTGTAGCAGTATTGCTGAGAGACAGTTGTAGCAGTATTGTTGAGAAACAGTTGTAGCAGTATTGTTGAGAGACAGTTGTAGCAGTATTGTTGAGAGACATTTGTAGCAGTATTGTTGAGAGACAGTTGTAGCAGTATTGTTGAGAGACAGTTGTAGCAGTATTGTTGAGAGACAGTTGTAGCAGTATTGTTGAGAGACATTTGTAGCAGTATTGTTGAGAGACAGTTGTAGCAGTATTGCTGAGAGACAGTTGTAGCAGTATTGTTGAGAGACAGTTGTAGCAGTATTGTTGAGAGACAGTTGTAGCAGTATTGTTGAGAGACAGTTGTAGCAGTATTGCTGAGAGACAGTTGTAGCAGTATTGTTGAGAGACAGTTGTAGCAGTATTGTTGAGAGACAGTTGTAGCAGTATTGTTGAGAGACATTTGTAGCAGTATTGTTGAGAGACAGTTGTAGCAGTATTGTTGAGAGACAGTTGTAGCAGTATTGTTGAGAGACAGTTGTAGCAGTATTGTTGAGAGACATTTGTAGCAGTATTGTTGAGAGACAGTTGTAGCAGTATTGTTGAGAGACATTTGTAGCAGTATTGTTGAGAGACAGTTGTAGCAGTATTGTTGAGAGACAGTTGTAGCAGTATTGTTGAGAGACAATTGTAGCAGTATTGCTGAGAGACAGTTGTAGCAGTATTGTTGAGAGACAGTTGTAGCAGTATTGTTGAGAGACAGTTGTAACAGTATTGTTGAGAGACATTTGTAGCAGTATTGTTGAGAGACATTTGTAGCACTATTGTTGAGAGACAGTTGTAGCAGTATTGTCGAGAGACAGTTGTAGCAGTATTGTCGAGAGAAATTTGTAGCAGTATTGTTGAGAGACATTTGTAGCAGTATTGTTGAGAGACATTTGTAGCAGTATTGTTGAGAGACATTTGTAGCAGTATTGTTGAGAGACAGTTGTAGCAGTATTGTTGAGAGACATTTGTAGCAGTGTTGTTGAGAGACAGTTGTAGCAGTATTGTTGAGAGACAGTTGTAGCAGTATTGTTGAGAGACAGTTGTAGCAGTATTGTTGAGAGACAGTTGTAGCAGTGTTGTTGAGAGAAAAGTTGTAGCAGTATTGTTGAGAGATAGTTGTAGCAGTATTGTTGAGAGACAGTTGTAGCAGTATTGTTGAGAGACAGTTGTAGCAGTGTTGTTGAGAGACAGTTGTAGCAGTATTGTTGAGAGACAGTTGTAGCAGTATTGTTGAGAGACAGTTGTAGCAGTATTGTTGAGAGACAGTTGTAGCAGTGTTGTTGAGAGACAGTTGTAGCAGTATTGTTGAGAGATAGTTGTAGCAGTATTGTTGAGAGACAGTTGTAGCAGTATTGTTGAGAGACAGTTGTAGCAGTGTTGTTGAGAGACAGTTGTAGCAGTATTGTTGAGAGATAGTTGTAGCAGTATTGTTGAGAGACAGTTGTAGCAGTATTGTTGAGAGACAGTTGTAGCAGTGTTGTTGAGAGACAGTTGTAGCAGTATACCTTAAAAATCTATAACATTAGGCTAATTTGCTGTGAATTAATGCTTTAAAAAAAATCTTAATTTAAGTGGTAGAAGTAAAATGTCGAGAAAATGTTAGAAAATCCTTCCAACAAAAATTAATAATATGACTAGGCATCGTCTGTATATCAGCATCGTGAGTATTATGATAGACAGCCGTAGTAGTAGTATTGCTGGAAGACGGTAGTATTGCTGGAAGACGGTAGTATTGCTGGAAGACGGTAGTATTGCTGGAAGACGGTAGTATTGCTGGAAGACGGTAGTAAGAGACGGTAGTTGACAGCTGCCACAGCACACTGTCGAAATCCCTAGTAGTAGTAATATCGTAGGAAGACAGTAGTTGCAATATTTCTGAGGAATTGTAGAAGTTGTGGCAGTATTGTTGAACCTCTGTAACTCTGTAGTAATTGTTAATGTCAAAAATATCTAACATTTATATCACAAAATAAAATATTTTTTCCGATCAGTACTCTGTTAAATCTTCTTTTGTATACTCGACAAAAATTGAATGAATTCATTTGTATGCGCCACTGTATGTATGAAAAATATATATATATATATATATATATATATATATATATATATAATATATTATATATATATATATATATATATATATATATATATATATATATATATATAAAGTGAATGCTGTGATCCATGCTACGCTAGGATGGATCAGTGGTCATCTACAACACTAGCACCTGGGGTGGATCAGTGATCCTCTACAACACTAGCACCTGGGGTGGATCAGTGATCCTGTACAGCACTAGCACCTGGGACAGATCAGTGATCCTCTACAACACTAGCACCTGGGGTGGATCAGTGATCCTGTACAGCACTAGCACCTGGGGTGGATCAGTGATCCTCTACAGCACTAGCACCTGGGGTGGATCAGTGATCCTCCACAACACTAGCATCTGGGCTGGATCAGTGATCCTCTACAATACTAACACCTGGGGTGGATCAGTGATCCTCCACAACACTAGCACCTGAGTTGGATCATTGATCTACAACACTACTACTAGCCTTCGGTAGAATCCAATTAAAAAGAATTCACGAAAACCGTGTAACGACGTTTCGGACCGTCCTGAACCACCATCAGCTGCGACTTAAATGGTCCAAAACGGACCAAAACGACGTCATAAGAATCCATTCCTACGGGCCGGTTTTTGTTGACTTGCTTCAGCCTCGGTATTGTGACTCTTCTTCTCCCAGTACAACAGAATTTTGCAAAGAATCTAACACCAGTGAGTTAAACAATTCAACACAGAAACTTTAACATTATTCACAAAGTTTTTTGTAATACGTCGAGTTAACTTGAGAAGAAAACTTTCACAATAAGTTTAGTGATGTAAACAACGGTTTTTATGACTCGTGTCAAACATAATATACGTTTTTATTAACATATTTTTTTTTTATGTTTGTGTAAGACAAATTTACGGAGGACAGGAATACATTCACCAAGGAAATCTTTACTGAAGACGTTTCGGTTCTTGAATCTCGATGTCTTCAGATATATGTATTTGAAGGGATTAAAGTCCCAGGACTGTGAGTAATTTCGTAAAATAATAATAATAGTAATAATAATAATAATAATAATAATAATAATAATAATAATAATAATAATAATAATAATAATAATGTCTTTATTTCTACAAGTACATATACAAGGTATACAGGCCTAGGTGAGATCAATGACATATTACTATATAGAAATTAGGTCAATTTTGTCCCCAGGATGCGACCCAAGCCAGTCGACTAACATCCAGGTACCCATTTTATTGATGGGTGAACATGGACAGCAGGTGTCTTATGGAAACACGTTCTTAATGTTTTCCACTGGTACCGGGAATCGATCCCCGAACCTCAGTGTGTGAGCTGAGTGCTCTAGAGATCCAACTATTTTCCTTCTTTGCAGCATAAAACACAATGGCAAGAGCAAAAGTCAATGGAAAACACGATGCCAAACTTCTTACATTACTCATAATAGCGAAGACGAGAAAAACACAGTACCATGATTAGAATAATTCACAAAAACCCCAACGAAGAAGAGAAAAACACAGTACCATGTTTCGAACAATTCACTAAAGCCTCCACTTAGGAAAGGAACCCTTTGAAAATGTCTCGGCCTTTCCTAGGCCAGTTGTAACCTGACGATAGCCCAGAAAGGACCGAAACGTCGCCAAAAGACTCCTCTCCCAAGTGCAGATTTTTGATGAATTCATAATAGCAAGGTGTTGATAATTCAGTTATCACACCTGAGGAACATTGTTCCACCTATGATAATACGTTACTTTTCCTTCATACGAAAGAGATAATCACCCTTTAAATATTTACACAAACTATATTTGGATTCATCCTCCCAAAAAATAAAATAAAAATTTCTTATGGATGCCTAGCCTTACCTATCCTTAGTATAAGGATAGGTAAGGTTTCTCAGGAAATGGGATAAGTGTTTCCTGACGCGGGTCTTAGTCATATGATGACCCGCAGCTGAAGCTTTTGGTCATCTGACCGAGCCCTTCAGCTGGCTTACCTGTCCACCCCTTTAAAAATTATGATTATCATTATACCCATTTTTTCATAATAATAAATAATAAATATATAGGCAATTTCACCAATATGTATGGAGAGACGTGATGCAGACATGTATAGGTACGACGGCACGTTATGTAGGAGCTCTAGCTGGGGTACCGTTTGTCTCAGGGGTAAAGCTTTATCAAGCTCTAACCTCAGCAAAACGCTTTCCCAAACAAAGTTTATTCCCAGGAGTTACAGGAAAGCAGTTTCGTTTGTGTTTACTTTGTTCTTCGTCGTTTATGTATTCTTCCGTGTCGTTCCCGCTTATGTTTATCGTCTCCCTTTCTTCCCACCAGGTCACGGGAGCGTCCCAGCGTCCCCCGCCGACGCTCCGACAACGACGATGACAACCCCGTGCGCTCTTCGTCGTCGACGCGCTCGACCTCGGTGCGACGCGGCCGCATGAGCGACTACATGCTGCGCGACTCCTCCGACGACCACCTCAACTTCCAGCGTATCCACGCGGCGCACAGCGAGACAGACGTGTCCAGGACACGTAAGACAAGTCACGCCAACCTACACGTAAGTCAGAGACACAGTAAAAAAAAAAATAGCCAAAAGCAATAAAAATCATTACGAAAAAATATAATAATCAAACATAATAAAAAGTCAATAGAAATTATTATAAATTATTATTTCTATTGGCTTTTTTATTATAAATGATAAACTAAAAAAGTCTTTGGAAACCGTTTATAACAAATAAAAACCACATAAAGATAATCAAAACTTTGAAAACAGTCAAAACAGTAGAGAACAGTGAAAATAGTAAAAAAAAAAGTCAAAGAAGTAAAATAACAGTTAAAAAGTCAAAAAAAAAGTTTAAACGGTAAAAACAGTCACAACAGAAAAAAAGTTGTAGCAGTAAAAACAGACCAGTCGAAGTCACGACTCACGAAATCGTCATAACACGACTGTAAACAATTCAGGGAACAGGTGAGGATTTGAACTTATGACGAGTTTGTTCTGAAACCCACTCGTCCAGCTGCATCTAGTAAGATTTTTGCCCATGGCAGATGTGACATGTTGTTCATAACCTCTCTCTTGCCCGTGGCAGATGTGACATGTTGTTCATAACCTCTCTCTTGCCGTGGCAGATGTGACATGTTGTTATAACCTCTCTCTTGCCCGTGGCAGATGTGACATGTTGTTCATAACCTCTCTCTTGCCCGTGGCAGATGTGACATGTTGTTCATAACCTCTCTCTTGCCGCTGGCAGATGTGACATGTTGTTCATAACCTCTCTCTTGCCCGTGGCAGATGTGACATGTTGTTCATAACCTCTCTCTTGCCCGTGGCAGATGTGACATGTTGTTCATAACCTCTCTCTTGCCCGTGGCAGATGTGACATGTTGTTCATAACCTCTCTCTTGCCCGTGGCGATGTGACATGTTGTTCATAACCTCTCTCTTGCCCGTGGCAGATGTGACATGTTGTTCATAACCTCTCTCTTGCCCGTGGCAGATGTGACATGTTGTTCATAACCTCTCTCTTGCCCGTGGCAGATGTGACGTGTTGTTCATAACCTCTCTCTTGCCCGTGGCAGATGTGACATGTTGTTCATAACCTCTCTCTTGCCCGTGGCAGATGTGACATGTTGTTCATAACCTCTCTCTTGCCCGTGGCAGATGTGACATGTTGTTCAAACCTCTCTCTTGCCCGTGGCAGATGTGACATGTTTGTTCATAACCTCTCTCTTGCCGTGGCAGATGTGATATGTTGTTCATAACCTCTCTTGCCCGTGGCAGATGTGACATGTTGTTCATAACCTCTCTCTTGCCCGTGGCAGATGTGACATGTTGTTCATAACCTCTCTCTTGCCGTGGCAGATGTGACATGTTGTTCATAACCTCTCTCTTGCCCGTGGCAGATGTGACATGTTGTTCATAACCTCTCTCTTGCCCGTGGCAGATGTGACATGTTGTTCATAACCTCTCTCTTGCCCGTGGCAGATGTGACATGTTGTTCATAACCTCTCTCTTGCCCGTGGCAGATGTGACATGTTGTTCATAACCTCTCTCTTGCCCGTGGGCAGATGTGACATGTTGTTCATAACCTCTCTCTTGCCCGTGGCAGATGTGACATGTTGTTCATAACCTCTCTCTTGCCCGTGGCAGGTAACACGTCCTCTGGACACGGTCGTGGCGAGGGCTACCGCCGAGGACTCCACCGTCACCAGGGAGTCTGAGTCTTCGGGAGACGAGACTCTGGTCGTCAACAGTTGGCAGTCTCGAAGTCGCCGTCGCTCCATTATTCGCCAGCAGTCTTACGAGGAGGAAGACCCCGACGGAGAGACCTTCGTCAACCACGCCGGCAGTGGCAACAACTTGACGCTGTGGGGAGGTGGAGATCTCCCGATGAGGAGACACTCAGCGCAGGATCCCTCCAGGAGAGATGATTCCTTAGAGGGACGCAAGACGAGGGACTCCTTAGACGTCCCCCAGCACAGCCGCGTCCACAGACACCACTCCTGGGACTATGATGTCGCCAGGGACACCCTGCCTATGTGAGTGTTGTGGCTCTGTATACACATACACCCTGCCTATGTGACTCGAGCTGTAGTATACACCCAGCCTATGTAAGTGTTGAGCTGTAGTATGCACCCAGCCTATGTCACTATTGAGCTGTAGTATGCACCCTGCCTATGTGAGTGTTGAGCTGTAGTATGCACCCAGCCTATGTCACTATTGAGCTGTAGTATGCACCCTGCCTATGTGAGTGTTGAGCTGTAGTATGCATCCTGCCTATGTGAGTGTTGAGCTGTAGTATGCACCCTGCCTATGTGAGTGTTGAGCTGTAGTATGCACCCTGCCTATGTGAGTGTTGAGCTGTAGTATGCACCCTGCCTATGTGAGTGTTGAGCTGTAGTATGCACCCTGCCTATGTGAGCGTTGAGCTGTAGTATGCACCCTGCCTATGTGAGCGTTGAGCTGTAGTATGCACCCTGCCTATGTGAGTGTTGTGAAAGACACATGTTCAATAATTTGGTGTGTGTGTGTGTGTGTGTGTGTGTGTGTGTGTGTGTGTGTGTGTGTGTGTGTGTGTGTGTGTGTGTGTGTGTGTGTGTGTGTGTGTGTGTGTGTGTGTGTTTGTATGTGGTGTGTGTTGGTATTGGTTATTTACATTTGTCAGTCAATTGTCGATTGACAGGACATTTTGTTTTCTGTGTGTGTGTGTGTGTGCGTGTGTGCGTGCTTTTGTGTATACATACGTGTGAATAATCACCTAAATGCATTGAGTCGAGTCTCAGTTTATGGCCTTGCCACGTAAGCCCTTTCATACCTATTCTTAAAACTATGTATAGAGCCTGTTGCGACTACTTTTTCTTGCATGCTGAAGAAACAATTCCTGATATTTTCGTGACTCGTCTGTGTCTTTAACTTCCTACTGAGCCCACGTGAGCTCGTTTCCCACGTCTCAAAGAATACGTACCCTCCACACTATCAAGTCTTCTGAATATTTTGTATATCGTTATCACATCTCTCCTGTTTTTTTTCAATCTCCTAAGGTAGCCAGGTATAGTTTCTTACTTAAATGTTTTAATCTATGTTGAGGTGACTCCCAGAGTACCTGTGATATACCTGTGATTGAGGTCGAGGGACTCTTCTACCCTTCCAGCCAGGAATGAAACCTGGCTTTCATATTGACTGCATGATCAAACAAGCTGTTTGTGCCAGCAGCTCGCAAGCCCACATATTTATCACAACCCATGGAGATGGTTGGCTGGTTAATGGGGTTTAAAGCTTATCTACTACACGAGGCTCATTAAGGCTGCACGTCGCCTGTCCACCAGGACAGGCGACTTATATATATATATAATATATATATATATATATATATATATATATATATATATATTATATATATATATATATATATGTATATATATATATATATATATATATATATATATATATATATATATATATATATATATATATATATATATATATATATATATATATATATATATATATATATATATAAGTGCAATATAATATTATAAGTAAATTTTACTTGTAACAGAAATACAAAATAAAGATGTTTTTACTTAATTATAATAATTCGTTAGACTTTACTGGACTAAGATAAAAATTTATCTCCAGTTCTGCATAATAGTCAATTAAATTTCGATTAACGTAATTTTATTTTTAAGTGTAATTTTTCATATTGTAACGATGAAATTACCTTTTTTTTTACCCATTAAAACCATTGTTTGGGGGAAGGAAATAATTAATTTTTGGGTTTTGAAAAATGTCAAAAGACTACAGAACAGTCGGTCATTTACATTCACTTCCTAAAACATAGGAAAAAATATTTAATTAACTGTGGTTGAAAACATTGTGGAGACGCTAAATGCGTATCTACAATGTTTATATCATTATTTGATATAATTTCACATTCCATTCATTTATATGTTTATATATATGTCGTGCCAAATAGGTAAAATTGGTCAATTAGCAAGAACTCATTTATAATTAAGACCTTTCTAAAATTTTCTCTTATACATATAGCGATAATTAGGTGTCCGGGCCTTTATAAACTTATGGTAAATAAAGAGGACAACTCGACGAATAAAGAGGACAACTCGATGAATAAAGAGGACAACTCGATGAATAAAGAGGACAACTCGATGAATAAAGAGGATAACTCGATGAATAAAGAGGACAACTCGATGAATAAAGAGGATAACTCGATGAATAAAGAGGACAACTCTATGAATAAAGAGGACAACTCGATGAATAAAGAGGATAACTCGATGAATAAAGAGGACAACTCGATGAATAAAGAGGACAACTCTATGAATAAAGAGGACACCTCGATGAATAAAGAGGACACCTCGATGAATAAAGAGGACAACTCTATGAATAAAGAGGATAACTCGATGAATAAAGAGGACAACTCGATGAATAAAGAGGACAACTCGATGAATAAAGAGGACAACTCGATGAATAAAGAGGACAACTCTATGAATAAAGAGGACACCTCGATGAATAAAGAGGACACCTCGATGAATAAAGAGGATAACTCGATGAATAAAGAGGACACCTCGATGAATATAGAGGACAACTCGATGAATAAAGAGGACACCTCGATGAATAAAGAGGACACCTCGATGAATAAAGAGGATAACTCGATGAATAAAGAGGACACCTCGATGAATAAAGAGGACACCTCGATGAATAAAGAGGACACCTCGATGAATAAAGAGGACAACTCGATGAATAAAGTAAATACAAAGAAACAGCTACAATGGGTTAATGCCTCCTACACTCTTGAGATAATTTATTTTTCACTTACTGTGCTTTTGTTGGCGTTGCTGGTAAAATATCGTCTCGTTGTTGATATATCGCGTCATCTTTTAGGTAATAGCGTGCACTGGCTGTTAGAATATCATGTTCTCGCTGTTGGATTATCGTTACTCGTTATTGGAATATCGTTCACTCGTTATTGGAATCATGTGCTCGGTGTTGGAGTATCGTGTTCTCGTAGTGTTCCGGATCATGTGTTTAGTTACATGCTTTTTTGTCAAGTTGTCAACGTGTTTCGTTTTCTGAATCACTCATTATGAACTGTTAGTGATATTGTGTATAAGATTACTGCTGCTACTACTACTACTGCTACTTCTACTACTACAACTACTATTATGCTGTTGCTACGAGTACCGCTACTACTACTACTACTACTACTACTGCTGCTGCTGGTAGTGCTACAGCTACTACTGCTGCTGTTACTGCTAGTACTTCTACTACTACTACTACTATGCTACTACTACTATTACAACTACTACTACTGCTACTACAACTACTGGTGCTACTACCACTAGTTTTATTACTGTTGCTGCTGTTGCTACTACTACTACTGCTGCTACTACTACTACTACATCACTACTACTATTACTACTGTTATTACTACTGCTGCTACTACTGCTATTACTATGCTACTACTACTAGCAGTAATAATAAGAACAACACTAATAATAATAATAATTCAACTCGCTACAGCTCAATCAACTATCTGCCCTTAACGACCTTTCCAGCAAATTCTCTCTGGGGAAATATTCTTTGTACAGTGATCAATTTATATTTTCATACTGTCTCCCCGTGTTCTTTCTCTCTCGTTGATTCTAAGAAACGTGATCTCTCTCTCTCTCTGTCTCTCTCTCTCTCTCTCTCTCTCTCTCTCTCTCTCTCTCTGTCTTCCTCCTCCTCCTCAAAGACACGTGGCTATTGTAAGCTCGAGTTGATATCTCCCAAGGATATCTTTCATATATTTCGTGACAGTGGAATCCATTTTCTTGTATGAATTTGGATTGTCCTTTTTTGTGTACGTTTTTCAAAGCGTGGTGCATTACTCCAGTCGCATTAAGCGAATTCGTAAGATGGAACACAATACCCTTGTTGAATAAATCGAATTCGTAAGATGGAACACAATACCCTTGTTGAATAAATCGAATTTGTAAGATGGAACACAATACCCTTGTTGAATAAATCGAATTCGTAAGATGGAACACAATACCCTTGTTGAATAAATCGAATTCGTAAGATGGAACATAATACCCTTGTTGAATAAATCGAATTCGTAAGATGGAACACAATACCCTTGTTGAATAAATCGAATTCGTAAGATGGAACACAATACCCTTGTTGAATAAATCGAATTCGTTAGATGTAGTACGGTATCTGAGTAGCAATGTGTTCAACGCTGGATTACACGGGTTAAGCGTTGAGCACACGGATGGTGGAACCTCCACTACACGAGTTCAACGATGAACACATGGATGATGGAACCTCCACCACACGGGTTCAGCGATGAACACACCGATGATGGAACCTCCACTACACGGGTTCAGCGATGAGCACACGGAGGATGGAACCTCCACTACACGGGTTCAGCGATGAGCACACGGAGGAATGGAACCTCCACCACACGGGTTCAGCGATGAGCACACGGAGGATGGAACCTCCACTACACGGGTTCAGCGATGAGCACACGGAGGATGGAACCTCCACCACACGGGTTCAGCGATGAGCACACGGAGGATGGAACCTCCACCACACGGGTTCAGCGATGAGCACACGGAGGATGGAACCTCCACCACACGGGTTCAGCGATGAGCACACGGAGATGGAACCTCCACCACACGGGTTCAGCGATGAGCACACGGAGGATGGAACCTCCACCACACGGGTTCAGCGATGAGCACACGGAGGATGGAACCTCCACCACACGGGTTCAGCGTTGAGCACACGGAGGATGGAACCTCCACCACACGGGTTCAGCGATGAGCACACGGAGGATGGAACCTCCACCACACGGGTTCAGCGATGAGCACACGGAGGATGGAACCTCCACCACACGGGTTCAGCGTTGAGCACACGGAGGATGGAACCTCACTACACGGGTTCAGCGTTTGAGCACACGGAGGATGGAACCTCCACCACACGGGTTCAGCGTTGAGCACACGGAGGATGGAACCTCCACCACACGGGTTCAGCGATGAAC